ATTCTCCAGTATTGGTAGTTTTCCTGGTCTTTTTAAACCTCTGAAATTCCAGCTACAAAGCTTAATCATCGTTGGATTGTATTTATGGTTCTGTTGGTTTCGCCCAGACGCATATTTTCTATGTACAGCTCGGTTACCCACTCCATCATAGCCAGTAGCCATTTAATACAGTCAACCCTCGAATCACTGCGAAGATTGCCAGTCGGATTGCATGGCCTATTCCTTTCACTATAATAATATATTCTTGCATGTTGGTTTTCATGGAAGTGTCCATGGAAGTGACATGGTAGGGTCCCGCTTCTTTCCATGTCACAGTGTTATAGAAGGAGATTCTTCTTGTAAGTATGATTAATCGTACCGCTGTTCGTCTTACTGACTGTCGCCACGATCATCTAATAATTAAGCTGCTGCCCTTCAATATGATGGTTATTGCGATGCTGTCACATGGGGCGATGGGGACGCCATTACCTACTAGAATCATCTACCTGGGACTTCCCCCAGTAGGAGCCCGGGGCCCCGGGTTCGCCAAATCCGTAAAACTAATTAATTAATATCCCCCTGATCTACGCGTATACTTTTACATTGACCCACAACGATATATTCGAGACCTGTATAAGAGGCGTATATTCAACGTTTATTATGCACGGATAATCAATAGACGACAGTAAAGTGTATCATTATAATTCAATATTATAATAATACTATTAAAATATTAATAATGATTCGGAAAAAACTTAGAATATCAAATGGTGTGGGTGGGCTTAACACGCGTTACTTTACCTATTAATTTATACAAAAAATCGTTATTGCATGCATGCCTGCAACTAGCAACTAGCATCAAAACATTTAATTCACGTGGTATGGAAAATTTTTAAATATTTTATCATACATAATATAGGTAACTATTGTATGTATTATTTTGTCTTGTATAGCTTATAGTTTTTTCTTGTCTTGATAAAATATGTGTAGTTTAATGATAATGTTATCTACACGTAAATTCTTAGATAAATATGTGTATATTACATATAGACGAATAAGGGTATTCGTTATAATAGTTTCAGAGTATTTTTTCTAAAGAGAGTGGTCAAATTGTAATTCAACAATWATAGGAAAAGATATATAGGAAAGTTGGAAAAAAGAAACGCWACCAAAACCATGAGATATACCTCTATGCTAAATATACAGAAATGGGTTACTGCCAACCCAGTAGGCCAATGGCCAGATAGACCRACTTATAGCGATAGTCTGTAGAAATTACAGAAGGTAATTATTATTAGGTATTAGCACTACGCAAAGTATTATTGAATATGTTACTAARCAGACAAATGTCTTACACTAAAGAGATTATGAGACAATTCATGAAAAGAAAATCTACTTTGGATTCAAAAGAAATGTAAAGACATTAAGACAATCGAGAAAAACCGTGAAATCCCTTGAGAGGACATAACACTTATATTTGTTGTCTTCGTCTTACAAATTCGCAACATACCAAATTTACGCTCAGCAGATCACGTGTAGCTTCGTAGTTATAGCTTAAAAATTAGAGTGAATCGATCTCTTATAATACGTTATGGTAAGATCTAAGAACATTATTTGTATTTGTATGTGCATTTTTTTCGATTAGTCAGTTTTTAAGTGAATTATGAACGTTTTAATTTATATTATATCATATACGCAATACTTCCTAAAAAACTTGATTACCTATCGTAAAAAACCTACGTACAAACATAGATAATWTCCTTATCGCCATGTTTCATAATAGGCTAATTCACACTAATTTTTAAACCAACGAAGCTATATATGATCTACTAAACATAAAATTGTTATGTTACGCACTTATAAGATGGAGACAACAAATGATTGTGTAGCTTTCTCTTATATAAATATRATGTTGATCGACAGGCGTTCATTCTTTGATATTAATTTAAATCATTAATTTCTTGATAAATAATTRAAACTCATGTACTAACAATACAACTATACATAGTATCACATCAAATAACATTTTGATTGCAGGAGAATTGGAAGCAGACCGAAAAGCAACAACACTGGGCCTGATGTAAAAAAATAAATAATAATATGTGTTTAATATTTAACGAAAGTAAAGCAAAATAAAAGGTATTACCACTCGGAGAATACAACCAATGCCCAAAAGGATTGACTATAGGAAAAATCAGATTTGAGACTATTAAATTGGCTTATATCGAAGTTGAACTGTATATGGTGTGAACCAGTTTTAGACGTGAAGAATTCCAAAAGCGTTTAAGTACAG